TATATATATATATATATATATATATATATATATATATATATGTATGTATGTTGGTCAGCCTGCCTGCCAGCTTCCCAGCTCTCACACACTTGGGGCCAGCTCACCTGCAACCTCCACAACCAGGGCCAGCTCTACTCTGCTGCCCAGGTGAGGTGCAGGGCCCACTCTCCCAGTGTTTGAAGCTGGTGAGGATCATGGCCAATTCTCCTGCTCTCATGACTCTGGGGCCCATCTGCTATAAATGGTAAGGGAAGAGGGAAGGGAAGAGAGTGCCTCTCCCTCATCTGAGACACCACCCAAACAGCATTTCTGCCTGACGAGGGCAAAGGACAAAGTAGGGGAGGCAGCTCTCCCTTGCCCATGTTACTTCTCATCAAACAAGTGGCAGCCAGCTCTCCCATGCTCACACCCTCAGGACCTGCTTGCCCACCACTAGGGTCAGCTCTAGTGTGCTGTCTAGGCAAGATGCAAGGCTTGCTCTCCCAAGTGCTGCAGCTAGTGAAGGGCAGGGACAGATCTCGGACTTTCATGACCCCAGGACCAATTCTCCCACTTGCTGCAGGTGTTGAGGGGTGAGTAGGTCAAAGGGTATCTTTTCCCAGCACATGCAACCACAAGGAGAGTACTGGTAGGGACAGCTCTTCCAATGCTCACATCCTCCGGGCTGACTGCTGTTTCTTACTACCCTCCAGTCCACAGTTCTGCTTCTCATCACTATATCCACATCCTTCTCATCCTTCTCTTTGTTGTTCTCTTCCATTTTTCCACTTACTTGCTCCTATTAGTGGCACCCAGGGTCTTGAAGTCTCGGGTTGGTCAACTCAGGAGTGATCTCAGGAGTGTTATGTCCTGCTCATACATTACGGCGCTCCTTACCCAGGTCTGTGCTGCTCTAGACTGATGTTCATCTCAGGATAGCTCCTTGTCTGAGCCCCATATTGCAGATACGTTGGTTGTCTCTGGTACTCCTTGCTAGTCCCACTTGAGTGGCCATCTGTCTCAGGCTCATTCCTTCCCAGGGCTTGCAGTCTCTGGCTGGGTTCTTCTAGTCTCCAGCTTGCTTCCCATCCTGAGAGCTCATCCAGGTCTTGCCTGGAGCCAGACTGGTGGTTATCTCCAGCTAGCTTCTTTTCAGGGAATGTTAGGCTACTGATTATGTAGATGTTCAATGGCCAGGCCACTGAGCATAGACAAAGCCTCTCTTCTCTCTGCCACACACTTATGCACATGTGACACAGCAGCCACACCTGCAATGACTCTAAGAATAGGCACTTTGAAGTCTTTTAAGTAGTTACTTTATACTTGGTTAAATTTGATTGGTTACATAGGTTAAATGAATGGCTATTGGTTCAACACAACAATGTGTTGTGGTCATACTTTATATTAAATGTTCTAAATATTGTGTAACATGTATAAAATTATTATGGCCCAGGGATAATGAAGACCAACATAAAATAATATTGAAAATAAAATATCAAATATTCTTATTAATCACTAAACTCTATGAAAATTTTATTAGTAGTAGTTCAAGCCTTTTATCATTTGCAATTTAAAATTTTTTTAAATACTTGCAACAAAATTAAAAGAGTACAGATTAACTAAATTCTTTTAAATTCATTTATTTTTAATGTGTATAGGTGTTTTGGACTACATGAATGCCTATACCATATGTATGGATAGTACCATAGAAGGACACAAGTGGTCATTGGATCTCCTGGGACTGAAGTAACAGAAATATCATGGCCTGCCACGTGAATACTAGGAATCAGACATGGATCCTCTTAACTACTGAGCCCTTTCTCCAGCTTTTAAATCTCTACTCTTAAAAATGGGATTTTTCACAAAACAAAACTCATTTTACAAGTAAATTATTTTTCCTTTGTTTATCTTTAGTAAACACTATTATGGCAAGATAAAAATATAGATTCTTGGTTCAAAACTATTATACAAATTGGGCTTTTTTTTTCATCTTGTGTTGAATTTTCCTTTTCAAACTTTGTTGCAATTGCCTCTCAAAATTCTATAGAAGTGTAACTTTAAAAAATGACCCTGTGATTTTAGATGGCAATATAAGACATACTTGAAGTTAACAGTAGATCCCATTTAAATTTAGCCTGAAAACAACCCATCCTCTAATTGTTACCTGCTCAAATATATCTAAAGAGATCATGAATTTTTCACCTCTAGCTCAGATATCCCTCTTGAGACCTGACCAGACTGATAACCAATACAGAACCCAGCTCCATCTCAGCAATGAGAGGTAATCAAAACCTAACTATGAATAGTTGATAAATCATATTTTCAGAGACTAACTTCGGTCAAAGGAAGAGAAGGAGAAAAAAAATGCCAAAGTTTTCAAAAACAAAACATAGTCACGCCAACCCTAAAAGAATTAAAGAGCAGATAAAGAAAATGTTTTGGGGGCGGGGCAAGATGGCGGCGCCTGGAGGACGCTCATTCTGAACAGCAGCACAGCAGGATTAGCACAGTGACCAGCAAGCAGAACTCGCAGCCATAAAACACAAGTGGTTGTGTTTCTCAGGTGAGAGGATACCCCACAGTGGGGGATTCAATCAGCTTTAACTCACCCGGCTAAACCGCGGAAGAGACCCTGGTTCCGCAAGGCGCTTGGTCGCCAGCCCAGAGCTACATGCCAGCGTGATCTGGTCACTGTCCCAGACTGAACTGTGGGCCCACAACATCACAGACTGGATTTTCCAGTCGAGAGATAACCCCACGGAGCAGGAAACGATTGGGACCGACCTTAGGTCACTCAGACATCCCCTGGAAAAGACTCAGGTTCCGCGGGTGCCCCAGGAGCCAGCCCGGAGCCAGAGCCCTGGACCCAGGCGCCAGCACAGAGCCCTGCCGGCCTGCACGCCTGATTCGCCACCTCAGATAGAACTGTGGGCCCCAGGGCACCAGGGACTCAGTTTCACCGTTGGGTGCAAACCCACAGAAAGGGAAACGACTGGTCTGATCTCAGAGCACTCAGCTGATACCACCACCCCGAAAAGGTCTCGGGAAAATTACCCAGTTTAGGCAGACATCCAGGCTCCCAACAGCCAGAAAGGCGGAGCCAGGGGCAGGCGCCTGTGCCTGTGGGTTCTACTCGCCGCCACCCCAGACAGAACGGCGGTCCCCAAAGCAAAGACTGGGTGTCCCTGGCAGGAGGAAACCCCCAGCGGGGGGAGATCATCAGGTCTAACACTCAGGACACCCAGCACCAAAAGACTCTCTGGTTTCATGCAGACTCTAAGCTCTAGCCTTCTACTGCAGGCAGGAGCGCTGTGCTCAGCCACCATTATTGAGTACTCTTAGGGCACCGGGGCACACAGCTGCATCCTCAGACCTACAAAAGCCAGAGAGCGATTACAGCAGCCTTCAGATACTGTGCCAAGGATGAACCAGTTACCCCTAGCTAAACTGACAAAACTGTGGAAACCACTGATCCTTCAAGAGGGCTGCACCCACAGTGTCCGGACCAGAGCAGTGCCTGCAGCCGACATCCGAGGCAGGGACACACAGCTTTCGGTCCAGACTGAGGCACCCAGCCTCAAGACCAGAGCAGCGCACCCAGGTGCCAACTCAACCTAGGTGCACATTCTCTAGGCCCAGAGCGGAGCACTCAGCTTCTGGCCCAGAGACTTGCTGGGGGCTCCTCTCACTTTCCCGGACAGAACTGTGTGCCCCAGGATAACAGACTGAGTTTCCCTGTTGGGAGAAAACCCCACAGCTAGGGAATCAGCAGGTTCTTCAAGAGGACTGTAACTGGAAAACTGTAACAACAGCAGCAGCTCACTAAATTTATAACGAGAAACCCAGCAGTAAGGCAGCTGTCTTGAGAACTTCTATGGGTAAGAGGAGAGCCCCCCCCC